CCCGTTAACACTAGATCAAGAAGACTACCCGGCTCAATCTTACTTCTTATATAGGCTCAATTAAGCAAAAGAAAATTAAAAGACCTATATAGATATAGAATGTTTTGGCTAATTATCTTCCGTATTGGTCCTACTAATCTTATTCTAGTGCCTGTGTCTGCTCCTCGAACAAAAATTGCAGGACAAATACAAAAGATAATTAACCAAACCATTCAATATCTATCTAGGCCTTTTAATTATCTTTTGCTTAATTGAGTCTATGTAAGAAGTAAGATAGAACCGGATAGTCTTATTGACCTAATTTTAACGTGATACTTTTATAAGAATGAGTTCCAGCTCTGATTATGTCCATCATATGATGGACAAAACGAGGGAGATCTTGTAGATTGCGTCAAATTGAATGTTCAATAAAAGCCAAACGGCTGCGGTACAACGGGATTCAGCCGTCCTATTCTGATGAAATCGACCTTCGAATCTCTTATTCATGAGCTTTCATACGAAATGAAAGTCTCCTAAACAATGTTATCTCAGGAGTTATCCCAGTTACTCTTTTTGTATCTATAGCGTAGCTCAGTTTTTTATCTTATAAAATGAATAAGTGATCTGATTAAGATAGGTGTAAAACATCAAAATCTGAAACTTGCTCGAGAGAAGCATCTTTGTCGTTTATCGCCTCGCCAATGTCTCTCAGAAGCTTAGCTTTATGTTCGCTGGAAGCATGAAAATTAACAGTAATAAAGGAATTAATAAACCAGATGCGGATAATGTTCGTTATCGTAGAAGCTCGAAAATAGGCAACAAACCTGTATACTGATGAAGCCTTGAGTATACTAATGGGAACCAGACGTTGAAATATATCAGTGCCGCGAATCTCAGGATCATTGTGATCAAAGGGCACACCTTTAACGAGACAGGTGGCTAAAATAACAGACGAAAATAGAGTAGTGATAAAATAAGTGTAATCAGAGCTCCGAACGCCCCTTTAAAGGTTTATCTGGTAAAAATTTTATTAAGCCTGGGTAACAAAAAAATCAACGAAATAGACCAATTTAATTTAAGTAGAATTCGAAATTGCCACTAGAGGTGTATTCACTATAGGTCGCATATAATAATGGAATAAATGAATTTTCCCACAATAATATGAGTAGACCTTACGATTTCATTGGATTTTACTTAGCTTTGCTTCCCCGCCTCAGTCACATAATCATCCCCAACTGGAATCAAAACCTAATACTGCAACGTACAATCTCGATGCTTTACCACAAGTAGTTTAATCAAAGGTAGTAGCAAATGCAAGTTTTCCTTATCGACAATATTCTACGTGATATGAGAGAGGACATGCTAGCCTTTACACATAAGTCTGCTCTACGACTGAGTGAACTCCGTTGCAATGTGGCATAGTGGTAGCGTCATTCGATTCCCGTTTTGGATACTGATAAGAACCTGGCAAGGTGGAAACCGCCGTAAACTCTGAATGAGAAGGCCTTTCAGAATGTAAGGCCTGCTGAAATTCAATGGCATGGTAATATCTACCCATATAATTGTTAGAAAAGTCAACC